TTTCATTATATAAATAAATACTGGGTTGGGAGGGAGCATCAGGGTATCATTTGACCTGGGACTGGACGATGGAGTGGTATAACAACCGGAGTCTAGGAGGGAATGAACACTATCATTTTCTTTATCCCACCGATTCGACTGTGGTGCTGTGAATTCTACTTCAACAGTTTCAGTGAGATTGACGTGCCCTTCTTTACAAACCATCCTGTAGGAAGCTTAATAAGTATTGCGAATTGTGTTATTCGATTTGTTGGATCGTATCGTTGGAAGGTGATTCTTAAATTCCCGTGGATTTCGTGTAAGTGTCTCTGCTTACGGGTCCGCACCTCCGTTTTTGGCCCTTCGTACAGCGATATTGTGAATTCAGATCGGTAGCTCAAATTGATCTTGCTATTAAGAGGAGCTGCATACAAAACAAGATCTTTGAAGGGATGGTGGCTACCTTACATACATACATATTTTCGCCACGATTAAGTGCATCCACTTTGATGTGATAGGGGAATTTACGTATTCTCGGCAATCTTATCAACTTCCACACTTCTATTAGCGTTTCCTCAGTAACACTCACACATATGACGTTTCTGTTTGTTTACATTTATTTGCTGCTAGCTATTCTATCCATTCCAATCGACAGAACTGTCCAAAACGGTTTGAATACGTTTTAAAGGCGCTCCAAACTTCTCAGGTGAGTGTGACTATTGTCGGCAGCCTCTTTTACTTCGGCCACCTTTCCGTTTAAACTGTGTGTTAACCAGCTGTTCTATTATCGGCAACTCGAAATCAGCCGTATTTTCATGTGCTTACGTTTCATTTGAAGAAACACCTGGCATAACAGGTTTTCTCAGTCGTAAAAATGTGTGAGGATTTAACCTGAAAGGCTAAGGAATCGTTTACATACATTCAGCGAAGTGTTTTAGTGAGAAAATACAGCGAAATTAACGTTTAAATTGTGGTTGCCGAAAACAGTCGATGGCTGCCGAAGCCATCATCTACCCTATAAAAATTAATTTTTTACTGTGTTGTTGGCCTTTTGTTGCCAAAGTTAGTGATGATTTAACCTCCGAAACCGAACAGAGTGTGTCTGTCGCGTCAAATCGTATACGACATCCATGGCCGCTTACGCTTGGCGTGTTCAGAGTTGGTGACAGCATCACGGATCACATTTTCCAGGAACACCTTCATCAAACACCTCGTAGATCAGACCGGAGATGCGTTTGATAACGCCACGATGAACCAGACGACGGGCGGCGGCTATCACGAAGAACCTTGCGATGACGCTTGGCGCCTCCTTTATGGGGTATTTACACTTATGCTTATGGGTCAGGGTGTCTACTCAATCCAAGGAATCAAATTCTCTGAGTTTTCCAGGTTTTTCCAGGTCGGATGAAAAAAATTCCAGGTGCATACAAATTATACACATTATTATTTTATCTGGTGTACACACTGCTTGCACATGTCGAAAGAACTGTCAATTTAGATTTCAAAACAAAACTGTATCAGGAATCAAAAGTAAATACTTCCATCATGAATTACCGGAAAATTGCTCTAGTTTCGGCAGACGTTATTTGCTTTTATTATTTTAAATAAAATGAGAAAGAGAAGGTGAACTTTGTGGAGTAGGAAATGGTTGCTCAGGAGGAACACCGGCAGGGATTTGGCTCATCTTGTCCATCAAGAGCTGCGATATGAAGATGATGGAATGGATTTCAAAACTTCGCCAGAATGTCGATACCAACTTTAGACAAGCTAGTGGGAAAAGTTCTCACTAGATATACATGATTCCTTGAGTTCTGAAAATTTCTGTTAACAACTCAATTCTGCAAGGTCTTCAAACCTTCTGACGTCCCTGAAGTTTTGTTTCTGTTCTCCGGTAAAATTTCTTTAAAGATCAACAATCTTTCCTGACAATCTGGAAATGTCTCGGTAGTTCTACAGATTTCTTTGAAGTTCTGTGTGTTCTTCAGAAGTCTGCAAATTTTCCTAAAAATCTACAAAGTTCCTGAATCCCTGAAGATTTAAGATCCTTGAAGATCAACAATTATCTTTAATGTTTACAACATTTCTAATAATCTACAAACTTCTCGAAAGTTCTGTAATTTTCTCTGCATTTTCATGAATTAAAAGATTATCTAGAAATTTTTGAGGACGTCCGGAAGTTTTAGGAAGTATTCTGAAGTTTTTCTAATTTTTCTGAAAATGTGCAAATATCTCTAAAGATCAGCGAGCTTACCTGAAGTTCTGTAAATGTCTTTCAAAATCCAAGAACCACAGTAAAATTCTGAAAATTTATTTAAACATCTGCTAATTTTTGAGTAGATTTACGATCTACCCTCTGAACTTTTCTGAAGTTTCTAAAATTTATTTCAAATTCTGTAAAGTTTTCTGAAGTACTGAATTTTTGCACTAAAGATCTACGAACTGCCCTGAAGTTCAATAAATTTCACAGTAGATCCAAAGATGAATACTAAGATGAAACTGTCGGAAGAAAAACTTTCTATTTTAGTGTCCTCTTTCACGGCCCCTTTCATCCAATCCCCCCGTATTCAAGGTAATTTTGTGGTATTGCTGCCCCCTCGGAAGAGATGAAATTTTGCGCTCATTTTTATCAAAACAATCACACCAAAATCAGAGATGTCCCATTTTTTAATTACTCGATTAACAACGAATCGATTATTTTTTGTTCGCTGTGCTGCCATTTTTCCACCAATGAGAGTGCAGCACATGTTTGAAACAATCGGTGATGATCCTGTGGAGATGTTAATGCTTATATCGGCATGATCTAACCGATTATAAATAGTTTACGAACCGAAACGTTAATCGATTAAACGATTATTCGAATAAAAATCGGCCATCACTAGATGAATGTGAAACTTCATTTCAAATTTAAGGCCGTACATAAATAATGATACAATTTGAAAGGGACCGGGGCTAATCACAAATTACGTCTCCATGGTAACTGAAATAAACACGAGTGTTCACCGGTTGGTAGATCTCCGAACTTTTCTAAAATTCTTTGAATTTCTTTGTGGATTCTTCATCTAAAGATCGGCGAACTTTCCCGAAAATCTGCGAGTTTAGCTGAAGTTTTGCAAATTTTTCTTAAAACGTACGAACTTTCTGACGTTTAGGAGACGGAAGTAGGCTGTGCCGGCGAACGGACGCGTTCGTTTTTGCTGTCAAGATGTTTTCTCGTGATTCCCCGTTCTGAAGTGCATTTAATGAAGAACAATCCCCAGTTTAGTTTTCGAGAAGTGGTAACGGAACCAACGGTTATGGCTCAGGTAAGGCCGGTACTTTTCCGAGACCTCTTCCATCCCGACAATTTGTGACGTTGCGAACAATTTCGGCCTGAGAACCCTTTCACATCGGGAAGCATCCGACCAACGGAAACATGGATGCCATCTCGAGAGCGGCAGAAGAACCAACAATCAATACGAAACTAACGATTTTAAATTGGCTCACCACTTTAGTAGCCTATTGGTCCCAAGCAAACGATTAACGTACCCTATTCTAGTTGAAATTCTATTACTACACTATGTTTGTTTTGATTCGCTATGAAAGTTTGACAGATAACATCAGGGGTGTGTGGATTCATGCAGAACATGCAGGGGTGAGTGAAATAGCTTGGGACTGCTTGGGACCGTTGTTCTGGTACTGAGTGAGCCAAAAATAATAATGATTTTCTTCGGGACCCAGTGGTCTTAGAGTTACCTCTATGGAAGAACCCAGTTTACGGACAGTCAACTAAATTGGTGAGTTCGTTCCAGTTTAATATTTTTTTTTGACATATACTTAGGTAGGGTAGGATGGTCTAGGACGCGCCCTGGGATGAATTCTGCCACGTGGAATCCCGGAACTGGTAGTGAGAGTGCGGCGAGGAGCCACGTGTGGCCGTTTTGGTCTCGCCTATGTATTTATAAACATTACTTACATTGGCTTTCCTTCGAGTACGGGCAAGGTAATCGACGAGCAAAGACCTATCTCTAAATGTTCTGCTGTTTTAAATAGAGTTAAAATAAAATTTTGAAAAGATTTTCAAAGAAATAAAATTCTCCGGATAAGCTCAAAGATGCAAAGTGGGATTCCAATTAAATTCTTAGAAGGGGTTGCAAGGAAATTCCACAAAGAATTCAACGGTAATTATTACGCGGAGTGTTTTTTTTTTTTTGTTGTTTATTTCTGAACAATTTCAAGATAATTCAGAGCAGAATTCCAAGTTAATTCTGGAATTGATATCATGAGAATTTTGAACAATGAAAAATTAAAACCCCGAAAAAGAATGCACTTTACATCTTAAATTGATTCTAATTGATTAAACACATCAGCTATTTCGAACAAAACTTCGAAAACCGTTTTCTCGTGATTCAAGGCTCGCCTACGCAAACTAACACTATCTTTGGGTTGGGGAAAGATTCCCCTATCCGATGATACCGGTAATTTGCGTTCGATTGTCGAGGAAAGAATAATCAACGTTTGGTTTATAAAAGTTGATAGGACCTTTTCAATTGTTGGTCTACAATATATTGAATTCCGCTTATAGATCGAAATTCTATCCGCCACTTTTTTTTTTTTATATCTTTATTAAGGAATCCGCCAGACTATGAATATAGTGACTATAGATAATGCTGCTCCTGCTCCTGCGCTCACCACGCCGTCCGAAGCGTTTTTATATCTTTTCATGTTAAAGTAGAATAATGTGCAACCAAGTGGTGCTCGATTATGGCGACTGGGTTTGGGAAGAACGTTTATTTCATGAAAACAGTGATAACATTATCACTTTTTATTTGTACATTGAACAATGCTTAACATTACCACTATTTAATAGTTTCTAATAGTGATAAAACTATTGAAATTGGTTCAGAGGCAGCTGAGTTATTAATGTTCAAAATCTTTCATAATTTGGTTACATGATCCATTTTTGGTTTTCACAAAGTGCACCCCCGTATAGAAATCACAAACATAGTCCAACGTTTGAGCAGTCAAAATACCGGGTTGCCAAATATGCCATTATTTACAAAAAAAGTCAGTTCGATGACTGGGCACTCTCGGCACACTGAGAAAAATGTTGCTACAAAATAAATGTGTAGAGTGACTACCCTTGGATTGAAATATAAGACAAACAAATAAAAAGGAAGAGTCTCAACCGATGGTCTCGTGTTTCCTAAGCTGGATCAAAATGCAGCACCATTTCTTCAATCCAAATAGCCATGGTGAGGTTTTTCCCTGCTACATCACGCTTGCTAGTCCCATCCCATTGCTATCGGAGTGGTGTCATCAATGGAATTCTTTCAATCATCAGAAACAATCAAATATGTTTTGCTTTTTGGTAGTCTTTATTCATTTTCATTCAAACCTTAAAGCTAGAGTGCACAACATTGTGCTCGTTCATTACCTTTTGTTTCTCGTAAACTAGGATAAACTATAGAATTTCTTCGAAATTTCAGTGGTTAGATTTTGGTTTTAAGACGCAAACTAGGATAAACTATAGAATTTCTTCGAAATTCCAGTGGTTGGATTTTTCTTTTAAGACGCAAACTAGGATAAACTATAGAATTTCTTCGAAATTCCAGTGGTTAGATTTTTCTTTTGAGACGCAAACTAGGATAAACTATAGAATTTCTTCGAAATTACAGTGGTTACCTTTTTTTTAAGACGCAACTAGGATAAACTATAGAACTTCTTCAAAATTTCAGTTATTAGATTTTTTTGTTAAGACGCAAACTACGGAAGCATCCCAAGGAGGTCAAATCGGAGGAAAATATATGAAGGGAAAGTGGGTTTCTGTATAGAGGAAACTGCAGCCAGCTGTTGTAAGGTGCGAGCGTACGGTTATGATATTGAAGTAGAATGAAATAAATCAGGGAAAACATGTCAGAAGGGTATAACTCGAAACGTAAACAATGACTTTGAACGTCGATTTCTCTTGAATGACCGCACAACCCACAGAATCTGACTACACCAGCTCATAGAACAAACATTTCTCTGTCAGATGATTTAGTTAGTTTGAATGGGTGTATTGTCATTCGTAAGAAACCGACGATCCAAGTCACCGTTTACGCTTCGACTTAGACCCTTCTGACATGTTTCCCCTGAAATATGCCATGTGGGATATATGGATTTGGGATTTTCGATCTTTTCCGTGGTTGAGAATGGTTGTTTTTCGCAAAAAACGAATTTCTAAAACATATCCGAAATTACAGAGCGTTGGGTATCGTTGGGTGTTGCAATCAAATTTTGGTCGACTTAAACTTGACGCATTTCTTGTAATCGAGCATTTAAAAAAAAAAAAACCTGAACACCCCTCATTGTGTAGGTGTATACATCTTGTATGTTCACCTCAGAATTCTGACTATTTTATCGTTTGTTTTCATCTTTACATCTTTTGATACTACTGCATCGAACACCGAATCCGTCTTAACTAAAATTAGTTCCGATCGTTGGGCCTTCAGGCAAATAAACTAGACTGGTAATAAGTGAAAGGTCATAATAGAAAACTTGTTGCAATGCAATCGGATCGGGAGCAACAAGTTTTCGGTAGCACTAAGGGCAATAAACGCCGGCGGGAATATTCGATTCCCGTTAATTGAAAAGCGACGGGATGGATAATTAGTGACAAAGTAGATTTAAGAATCATATAAAAATAAAAAGGAGCGTAGGCTCCAGGTCTTACATCACAACTAAATTGTGTTTCATCAAAAATCACACGCCACAATTTGGTGGCAGCGGAAATCGTCAACTTGAAAAATATGAATGTCCAATTACTAAATATCGAACATTCATTTTCTATATGGAAAGCGATAATTATAACAATTTGTGTAATTATTCTGGCAATTTTAAGTTTTAAACTCTTTCGTCGCTTAAAACTTAAATTTAGGGGGGAGGAAATGACTCTGCTCCAGCACAAGAACGGCAAACATTAACAGTAGTTTTCACAGACACAGATCCAGACGAAACGCCTCAAGAGACCAATACTCCAGAAGGTAGTGACTCCAAATCGCGATGATAAACAAAATACGACGGCCAAAGCGCGATCCCGGAGGCTGTACACGACGATGCTGACGAAGTTTGACTGCGTGGTAATGGACGACGAAACCTACGTCAAAGCCGACTACAAGCAGCTTCCGGGACAGGAGTTTTATACGGCAAAAGGAAGGGGAAAGGTAGCACATGAAACTGTCAAAGTTCGCAAAGAAATATCTGGTTTGGCAAGCCATCTGTACCTGTGACTTTAAAAGCAGCATTTTCATAGCTTCCGGGACTGTCAACCAAGAAATTTACGTGAAAGAGTGTTTGAATAAACGTCTGCTGCCTTTCCTGAAGAAACACGGTTGTTCCGTACTGTTTTGGCCGGATTTGGCATCTTGCCATTACGGTAAAAAGGCCATGGAGTGGTACGCCGCCAACAACGTGCAGGTGGTTCCCAAGGACAAGAACCCTCCCAACACGCCAGAGCTCCGCCCAATTGAGAAATACTGGGCTATTGTCAAGCGGAACCTAAAGAAGACCAAAAAAAAACTGCTAAGGGCGAGCAGCAGTTCAAGGCAAACTGGCTTTCTGCGGCGAAGAAGGTGGACAAGGTGGCTGTACAAAATCTGATGGCAGGGGTCAAGCGTAAGGCCCGGCAATTCGGATTTGGAAAAGCGGAAGCCTAACTGAATATTTTTCCTGAATTTTATACTAATTGAACTTGAAAAGGAAATTTAATTTGATTTTTTAAATAAACGATTTCACCGATTTACACGCGTTTTCCCTTGACCAAATTTTGACCGTATCACCCTTTACTAACTAAAACAAAACAGCCAAGAAAATCGAAAATAATAGGGGAAGCGAGATTCTAAATTTAATAATAAGAATCAAAATCAAAGTCAAAAGTAAATAAAAACAAATTATAAAATTAATATTTATTAAACACCATATAGGTCTAAAAAACCAAAATGTACAGAAAGAATTACAAAAATTTCAAAAACTAGATGCGTCCTGAATGGGCTAATTGGCATACGGTAGATGAGAAACATACCAAGGAAGTTGACAGGAGGAATAAAGAAATAAAAAATCCGAACCCGATTATAAACTAGTTGCAGCAATCAATGAATTGGTCCAGAAATGGAGGCCCCAGTTCATGAAAGAAATAGGATATATCCCAAAAACATGGGAAGAACTGGTAAATAGAGGAACCAGAATAGATTAAATAAGAACAAGATAAAAAATAAATAAAAATAAATAGGAAATTAAAGCTGAAGGGGCTACTGCGGAGGTGGAAAAAACGCGAAAGGAGAAGCTGAAGAAACGGCTGGATGATGACATCGAGGCACGCGATGAAATAGTCATGCTTGTAAACAATGATGTCCTGAATAAACAACAGATTTTACAAAGAAAACGGTACGTGTTGCAGAATCTTTTCTAGGATTCATCCAGATCAACCTGAAAGACGCTGAGAGCTTAGTTGGGACCATTTTGAGCCAGTTGGACCCATCATGCTAGGAAAAGGTCACGAGTTGATAATCTACATGACGTCTTTATTCGAGCTATGAACTCATCTGATCCTTTGATAAGTTCAATAAATCTAGGTAATAGAATCCGAAAGCAGGTATCACTTGAATATCCAGATGTTGTGAAATCACTTTTAGTATTCGAAGATCTTGACAGCTCTGAAAATATAAACACTGAAGGCAATGCACTACACGGTAACCGCAAAATACCCAATAATGACTACAAAGTAAGCATTTTCGAGGGAAACTGGGACTACCCATTAAATGAGTAAAATTTTACCCATTTATGAGTAATTACAACTACAAAAACAAGTAGTAAGTAGTCATTTTTGAATAACAAATACTCATAAATGGGTAATATTTTTACTCATTTAATGGGTAGTCCCAGTTTCCCTCGAAAATGCTTACTTTATAGTCATTATTGGGTATTTTGCGGTTACCGTATAGATATGCATTGCAGCGGTGAACGGCCGTTAAAAAAAAAAAAAAAACAACGTGTTTGTTGTTTGGCAAATTGCAAATTGAGCAAGTGATAAAACAAAAGTTTTCATGTCTTATCATCACAACGTTAGTATCGCTCGAAACGATATCACACGCCACACAGGTCTTACATCACAACTAAATTGTGTTTCATCAATATCACACGCCACACATGTTTCCCCTGAAATATGCCATGTGGGATATATGGATTTGGGATTTTCGATTTTTTTCCGTGGTTGAGAATGGTTGTTTTTCGCAAAAAACGAATTTCTAAAACATATCCGAAATTACAGAGAGTTGGGTATCGTTGGGTGTTGCGATCAAATTTTGGACAACTTAAACTTGACGCATTTCTTGTAATCGAGCATTTAAAATAAAACCTGAACACCCCTCATTGTGTAGGTGTATACATCTTGTATGTTCACCTCAGAATTCTGACTATTTTATCGTTTGTTTTCATCTTTACATCTTTTGATACTACTGCATCAAACACCGGTAGAAAAAAGGTGCGTGTCAGAACCTGGACAAACTGTTTAAGAGGCAGCTTATAGGCCTCCCTTGTAGACACCACATACATGAACTGCTACACTTGGCAAAGCTTTTAAAATTCTGAAATTTGAAACGTCAAAGTCTCCAAATGTTGAGATTTTTAAGGAATTCCAATCAACATGGCACATTTTGGAAAAGACTTCATACCACTTAGGTATGGATGATGATTTTTTTAAAATAGCTATTTCGGAAATAGAAAGATTGGCGTTATTGGAGTTTTATGAAAAACAAATTTGAGAGCAACACGACCGTGGTGATTACCGAGAGGTTCTACAACTTGCCATTTTATATTTGGGTGGTAATTGAAGTGTTCGGGGAACGTTTGTCAACAGCCAGGAGGCCTGGATCGGAGGGAAATCAAAGCCGGAAACCGAAGCGAACTCAAAAATAGTGGCTAGCGGTTTCAGGCGGAACCCCATCCTCTCCGTCCGAGATGTCGCAAACAAGATGGTCGGGTCGACGTTAACACGCAAACTAGGATAAACTATAGAATTTCTTCGAAACTTCAGTGGTTGGTGAGTTATTAAAATCAGCTCTACGCAAACTAGGATAAACTATAGAATTTCTTCGAAATTTCAGTGGTTTTATGTTCGACGCAGCTGAATGTGATATCGATAGAAAGTTTCGTTGATCTCGTCTGCTCAGAGAGGGCTTTCCACCGTGTGAACAGCTGCGACAGCCACCTGGTTTCCCAACCACACCCCCCTCCGAGCAGACTTGGCAAAAAACGAATTTCTAAAACATATCCGAAATTACAGTGTATTGGACGGAGGGGACATTACCGGTCCAGAGACCGGTCGCAGATGTAGAAGTTATTGAAATTATTGAAATTACAGAGGTTTGTATATGTGGCAAAATGTTGCCATCTGCTATAACCGTTAGGGATATTCTCTCTTGCACCCCCCTTAGAGATCCATATGCGCATAGACGCAAGTTTTAGGATTAGGGAGATAAGGTCTAGAAAAAGAGAGTGAGAATAACTGTTAAACCCCGTACAGACTATGGCTTATATCATGTAATATAGGCTGTCTTGCAATGAGCACTCATACATCTAGTTTTCACTGGAAATCCTATGTATGAGTGCTCATTGCAAGGCAGCCTATATTATATGATACTTCAACAATATCACACGTCACAATTTTGGCAAAAAAAAAATTCAAGAATTTTGTTTCGCCTTTTTAAGTTAGGTCCAAATTCTCCTACCGCTGGAAAAAACGAATTTCTAAAACATATCCGAAATTAGAGTGGTTTGGTATGATGTTGTAAATATTCTAAAACGACCTAGTTTTGAAGACATCCACAGGATTCATTTTAACGACTTAGACTGGATAAAGACGGTATTCCCCGGTGGGGAATTCCAGCCATGGCATGCGGCGATATTTGACACCGAGAGCCATAACCCCCTCTTTCGAGGGGTGCAAAAAACGAATTTCTAAAACATATCCGAAATTAAAGTGGTTTGGTAAGACTTGTTTTTCGCAAATATTCTAAAACGACCTAGTTTTGAAGACATCCACAGGATTCACTTTTAACTTTAACGCGGCTTAGACATAAGACTTTCGCAAATATTCTAAAACGACCTAGTTTTGAAGACATCCACAAGACTCTTTTGTTTGAACTACTAACTAAGACTGGAGACTTTGCCCCTCTTTCGAGGGGCGGCAAAAAACGAATTTCTAAAACATATCCGAAATTAGAGTGGTTTGGTAAGACTTTGTTTTTTCACAAATATTCTAAAACGACCTAGTTTTGAAGACATCCACAGGATTCACTTTTAACTTTAACGCGGCTTAGACATAAGACTTTCGCAAATATTCTAAAACGACCTAGTTTTGAAGACATCCACAAGGCTCTTTTGTTTGAACTACTAAGACTGAGACTTAACCCCTCTTTCGAGGGGTGGGCAAAAAACGAATTTCTAAAACATATCCGAAATTAGAGTGGTTTGGTAAGACTTGTTTTTCGCAAATATTCTAAAACGACCTAGTTTTGAAGACATCCACAAGACTCATTTGTTTAAAACGGTTAGACTACAAAGACTGAGACTTTACCCCTCTTTCGAGGGGTGGCAAAAAACGAATTTCTAAAACATATCCGAAATTAGAGTGGTTTGGTAAGACTTTTTTTTCGCAAATATTCTAAAACGACCTAGTTTTGAAGACATCCACAGGATTCACTTTTAACTTTAACACGACTTAGACAGTAAGACTTTCGCAAATATTCTAAAACGACCTAGTTTTGAAGACATCCACAAGAATCATTTGTTTGAACTACTAAGACTGAGACTTTGCCCCTCTTTCGAGGGGGCGACAAAAAACGAATTTCTAAAACATATCCGAAATTAGAGTGGTTTGGTAAGACTTTGTTTTTTTCACAAATATTCTAAAACGACCTAGTTTTGAAGACATCCGCTGGACTCACTTTGACGTTCAAGACTCCAGGGCCCATGGCCCGGGCACGTAGCAGTATTTCTCGCGTCACTTTGCAAATAGACCAATCTACATTGATCGATTCTCTTCATCGACTCTCTCTCTCTTTCTTTCGTTAATAACTTGGCAGCATTCATATTTCGGGATAATTTTTCTTCATAGCCTTCTAACTATACGAACTGCAGAACATGTTTTTGAAGCCAATTTATCAACGAAACGAGAGTCGCTGAAGAGAATCGATCAATGTAGATGGGTCTTTTTTGAAAGGTGACGCGAGATTTCACTGTTTGTGCAAAATTTTCGTAAAAAACGAATTTCTAAAACATATCCGAAATTAAAGTGGTTTGGTATGATGGTTGTAAATATTCTAAAACGACCTAGTTTTGAAGACATCCGCAGAGTTCATTTAGTTGTGTTTACACGCTAAGACAATTCCCCTCTTTCGAGGGGCGGCAAAAAACGAATTTCTAAAACATATCCGAAATTAGAGTGGTTTGGTAAGACTTGTTTTTCGCAAATATTCTAAAACGACCTAGTTTTGAAGACATCCACAGGATTCATTTTGTTTTCTTACATTTACACACTTATGCCAGGGACAATACCCGTGACAAAATTTTCGTAAAAAACGAATTTCTAAAACATATCCGAAATTAGAGTGGTTTGGTATGATGTTGTAAATATTCTAAAACGACCTAGTTTTGAAGACATCCGCAAGGCTCATTTGTTTTAACTACTAAGACTTAGCCCATTATGTTTGGACTGCTAAACTACTAAGACTGAGACTGTGCCCCTCTTTCGAGGGGCGGCAAAAAACGAATTTCTAAAACATATCCGAAATTATAGTGGCTTGGTAAGATTTAACGAAAATATTCTAAAACGACCTAGTTTTGAAGACATCCACAGGATTCATTTTAACGTTAAGACGTTGTCTAGAGCGTACCTCTTAAGGGGGTAGAAACGTATTACTAAAACATTAACCGTAATGCTCATAGTATCGGTTGCAAGACATCTGCAAAGTCATGTTACCTCATGTCTGGCGAAATGATGATGATTCGGCAATAGCTCTCCAGACGCCACCGCGGCGGCGGCCGATGACTGCAGGTGTGTGTAAGCTTGCCATACCGGCAGTGCGCAGTAGTGTGCGTTTCATGCACGCCCTAGTTGACTTTCTCGCCGCATCGACATCCTGCTGATCTACCGGCAAAAGTAGTTCCAATTTTTGTTTGAATTGCCCCCATCGTAATCCATTCCGGCTTCTAGCCACTGGCATTCCGACGCTTGGAAGCTATTGGAAGAAAATGGAAAAAAATGCAAGGCGTTAGTAATGCACGGCAAACGGTAAATTGAACGAATTTTAAATTTCAAAATGGCTGACACTAATCTCACATGGTTCGAGCTTGAATCTAGTGGAAAAACTAACTAAGCTGTTTGAAAGCATTTTTATATAAAACGTCTAGCAAAAATATACTATTCAAATTGTTTTACCTAATCAATTTTCTGTAGAATCACTGCAGTGCTACACACTTATCGCTTCCATCACGAACACACTAGCAACATCCGGTGATGATGGCGTACGGCAGCCATCTTTGCAAATTTCAGTGGAACAGCGTGGCAGGAATCTTCTCGAACTATTGCTACCCGTTTTCAGCCATTTTTTGGCGTAAAATTATGACTATTCGTAATTGATTAACACCAATAGTCGCTGCAGTCTAATTTTTTGCAGTTTACGGCCATTTTCATCGACTTTCAAGCTCTCATACTGTGCGTCACTTTTTCTGCCGGTTCCTGACTTTATCGATTTTGTACTTTCTTCGTCCTCAGAAACAGAAGCAATTTTCTTCTAACCACTCAGATCTTGCCGTTTGAAAGCTTATATAATCACATTTTACTACTTTCACTGTCAAGCCTAAACTTGGGTAGCCCTCCACCAAGAGGAACTACCTTCCACTGTGCTACTGCTGCTAGGCAGCGTCGTGATGATGTGTGCACTCCTTTGCCGTCGAAAACCGAATGATGCTGAATACCAGCCCGAATGGGCTATTTATTTCGTTTCTTCGTGCGCGTTCGGTTCGTATTCAGCAACCGTTCGGGTTTATACCGCGACGGACGAGAGGTACCTACACCAATACCATCGCAGGCAGATCGAACACCGCAGTGCTCGCATTGTGACGCTGCTGGGTACAAATCCAGACGAACTTTTCCATGCTGTTGTCGTGTGTCGCTACCTAACCTCTAGCATCAGTGCATACATGTCCTAACAACAAGGGATGTCCAATATTTTTACGAGTCAGTTTTTTTTTTCAACTTATCATTCGCTGATATTTGATTAATTCTATAATGCGATTCTTTACTCAAGTATGCCATTCGATGTCTTAAATCGAAAAAAATATTGCTTAATATTAACTCGCTGGATTCAGATTTGTTATCAAATTTTGATTGCATCTAGGTAACAGTAATTTTGCAAATCGGATAAAAGACGTTCCTTATGATTTGAACCTCAATCAGGGTGGTGACTCATTAATGAAAAATAAATTCCCTGATTTTCCAGTCATTTTCCTTGAAAAAAATCCAGACAGGGCACGCTTACCGATTAAAGTTTAATTCGTGAATCAGTTTTGACTTTACTGGAAATGTGTTGCTTAATGATAATTACAAAGTAAATTATGAAGATCGTCTTCCATTAATAATCGAGCCTATAATACAAGGCATCATTGTTTCCTATGGATTCTACTATTTTAAATTACGCTATCAAAAGTCCCATACCGTAGCTATAGAAAATCCACTAGAACACCTGCCCTTTAGAAACCCATTCAAATGTTCTAGGAAGATTTCGAGAACATACTGCACGGAGTGTTGTTCGTAATATACTTTAAAATTTGATATTTGATATGGTGAATAAATATTACAACCAATTGCTAATCCTATACGACGAATTTAATTAACACTCCGAACACGATGCCTCCGGTAAAATGTGTAACGTTAAACCTGCAATGATTGAAAAATCTTAGGTCAGCCATTTATTGACGAATTTCAAAATTTATTGACGCCATTGATTGAGCAATGATATTTCAAACATTGACGCCATTGATTTAGCAATGATTTTTCAAACATTACCAAATTGTAGTTGCACATTTTACCGGAGGCATCGTGTTCGGAGTGTTAATATACTTGATAATCATATAGATTCAAATATCTCTGAATAAAATGATAGATCTCAAATCTACAATCAAGTTTAGATTATAAAGTAAAAAAGTCTATCAAACTTGGATCGTGATATTTTTTCGCAGTCCAGGATCATAAAAAAAAATAAAAATTCAGGACATTGAACATTCTTCTTAATTTGGGATATTGAACTTGTTTACAAGTTGGAATATCATTAAACTTGCACCAAGCTCGAGATTTTTGTATCTTTTTGAAATTCAAGACCATGATTTGAAAGTTTCTTTTACTCTAAGGAGTTACCTGTTTCCAACTTCGAGATCCGATAAATTTCAAATGGCCCACAACCAGTGCCAGATTTAGGATCCGGGAGGCTTGCTAACAAAGTTTGAATCTCAAATGCGCGATTATTGTATGTTTCCGCTTACCATTTTCGTATGAAATTTTTTTTTAATAAATCCGACGAAAATCAATACGCCTTTTTAATGCACCATCAACGTAGAGTGCGCTACGCGACTTCGAGAGGAAACGTCAACCAAACCGTTGGTTTACATCAGGATAACTATTTTTCACAACGCAAATTAAAGCATTTTTCATTCGACATCTTGGCAATCGGTAATTGTCTTATTGTACGATTTTTCACAGAACTGATTTGTACCTTAACTATCCACACACAAGAAATCCGGAAGATCATAACCACTAAGACACTTTTCTAATTTTCAATTTTTCGCAACAAAAATATTCCTGTACACTAGCAGGATCTTTGCAAAAACGATACAGAATTAAATTTTTCAACTGTAGATTAAGTTTTGGAGCATCTCAGATGAATCAATTAATCAGGAAAAGTAAAAAAGTGTTCCGCTCCCTATGCCTCAAGGCAAAAATTTATGCTCACAACACTCTTTTTGACGTCCTCCTATTCACCACCAGAGGTTGAATCGATCGTTTAGTTCCCATTAAAAAGGCCTATTAAGATACGGAATCTACATTTCGCCATAAAACAAAATTTAAAAAAAAAATACTGTGATTCGGGGTAAAATTGGTTGGTTGATGATAGATATCAAGAGAAATCTTGGAAGCATTTCATTATAAGACTCCAATGGCAGCTTTGAAAATTCCTAAGAACATTACAAACAAACAAACGAAAAGAACTCAGCCATTCATCAGTTATCGATGTCCTTAATGACCTTGATTATTTGCAATTAATCAAAGCTAATTTGCTGAAAGATCTTCTACCTCAACTCAACAAGCTCAGATATGTTGGCAGAAAAAATACAACAATTGCCAGCCCTACCCACAACCTCGGTTTTTGTGGGGGTCTTAAACAAAACTAAATTCAAAATAAAATAAAAATCATTTGTACGAAACCTTGCAAATCTTTCTGGTTTAGAATATTAAAAATACAGTCAAATTTCGTGC